TGTTCGATCTGTGCCCAGAATAAGTCTCCACGGCATCTCCCTTTGGGTCTTCTGCAACCCCATTCCCAATGGGGAGCGTCCTTGGTCACATCTAGGGATGGACTTTATTGTAGACCTCCCGGTGTCTCGGGGTCATATGGTCATCCTCATGATCGTCGATCGGTTTTCCAAGATGTGCCATTGCATTCCACTCAGGAAATTACCCACAGCGCAAGAACTGGCCACGGTCTTTTCCAGGGAGATTTTTCGCCTGCATGGGTTACCTAAGGTGATTGTCTCAGACCGCGGGAGTCAGTTCGTGTCCAGATTCTGGCGCGCCTTCTGCTCCCAGTTGGGTATTAGTCTCTCCTTTTCTTCAGCCTACCACCCGCAGTCCAATGGGGCTGCGGAGCGTTCCAATCAGGCCTTAGAACAATTCCTTCGGTGTTATATTTCAGACCATCAGGACGATTGGGCCGATCTCCTGCCGTGGGCAGAGTTTGCCAGGAACTCGGCGGTCAACTCCTCCTCCGGGATGTCTCCCTTCATGGCCAACTATGGGTTCCAACCCGCGGTATTACCTGAGAGGTTCTCACCACAGGACATTCCGGCTGTGGAGAACCATCTTGCTGCCTTGCGTTCTTCATGGGGGCAGATCCAGAGGGCCTTGAGGGACTCAGCTCAGCGCCAGAAGTTCCAGGCTGATCGCAGACGGTTGCCCGCTCCTTCATACCAGGTCGGCGATCGGGTGTGGTTGTCTACTCGCAACCTCAACCTTCGGGTACCCACACCCAAACTAGCTCCTCGTTTTGTCGGTCCTTTCCGCATTCTCCGCAAAGTGAATCCGGTGGCCTATGTCCTTGCCCTTCCGTCTGGGATGCGGATCTCCAATATCTTTCATGTTTCCCTGTTGAAACCTCTGATCTGCAATCGCTTCACTACCTCTCTTCCTCGGCCCCGTCCTGTCCGGGTTGACGGTCATGAGGAGTATGAGGTGAGCCGGATCCTGGACTCTCGATTGGTGCGCGGTCGATTACAGTTCCTGGTTCATTGGCGCGGTTATGGTCCCGAGGAGCGTTCCTGGGTTCCTCCGCGGATGTCCATGCTCCTGCCCTCCTCCGCGCTTTTCATACCCGCTTTCCTCAGAAACCTTTTGTTGAGCCGCGGAGGGGGAGGGGCCCTTGAGGAGGAGGTACTGTCAAGGTCCTACCTTTTTCCCTGAGGTTATGTTACTCCATATGCTGGGCGTCCATCTCTTTGGATTCTGCTGTGCATGATGGGAATCCTTTTATGCCTTCAGGTTTCTGTGGTCCATCCCCCAGAGGGGTGTGGCTGATGACATATAAGCCTGTGGCCCGCACATGCTCTTTGCACTTGTGTTTTGTGTCTTTGTGTTGCTATTACTCTGTTCTGACTCTCGTGACTCTCCTGGTATCTGATTCGGCTTGTGACTTGACTATTCTTTGTATTCTCCTTTGATCTGACCCTCTGTTGCTGAACCCGGCTCGTGACCTGTGATTCTCGTCTGCTGTCCTGTACTGTTTTGTCCTGTTGTTGTTGACCCCGGCTTGTCTGACTACTCTTTTTGTCTCTTCCACCAGCTACACGCCATTGGCGGCGGCCATTACCGCAGCTGAGGTGTCTCGGGGGCCGCGACCTGGTTCCTGGCTGCGTCAAGTCCATCCCCACCATCAGGGGCCCTGGTGAAGGGCAGCCTGGGACTTAGACTCCGCGCCCTGAGGGTTGTCGTCAGCCAGTGCGTTACATTGTTAGGCTTGCCTGTCCGTTACGCAGCTCCTGCCCTGACAACTGTATATAATCTTATTCATCATCGCCTAGGCCAGGGGTGCTAAACCTTTTGAAGAGTGAGGGCACCTAAATGATTTGTTAACCACCCGTGGGTCACAATGAAATGGTTCACAATTAATGTTTTATTTTGAATATCATAAAGAACATTTTCCTCCTGCAGCTGCTAAATGCTGGCAGGAGGGAGAGGAATCAGCCTTCAGCGATTGCAAGAGGAAAATGGAGAGGATCAATCCCTGTATATGGCGCCCCTCCTGTCCAAGTATAAAACTGAATGTGATAGGGAGGCTGCATGGGCCCCCTGGAGCATGGAGCGGGGGCTTCCATTGTGACCCCTGATGCTACACCAGTGGTTGGGTGGATGTGGTCAGTTTGCACCTGCAGGATATAATAGAAGTGCGCATCCCTGGTTTAAGGTAGAGGGCCACATTAGATGGCTCCAAGAGCCACAAGTGGCCCATGGGTCACAGGCTGAGCACCCCCAGCCAAGGCAAAAAACTAGCAGTTAAAGGGTAACTAACATTCTTTCATCCTTTGAGGTCATCTTTAAAAGGAAATAACTACAATGAAAAACAAATGGCAAAAAAGAAAGAAAAAAAAAACAATTTTTCCCCATCCACTACTCTGTGAAAAATGAAAACATTTTTGCAATAGATCTTTTTTAATTGAACCCTTTAATGTTTTGCTAATTGGACCACATGTCGTTAAAAATTACCTTTCATAATTTCTGGTTATGAAGCAACATAAAAAAAGTAACACCTGCAAATGTGAGTCTTTTGAAAGACACATGAAAGAGCTAAGCAACATATATATGATTAAAAATGCTCCCTTTAATGTGTATCCATAAGTGTTTTCATGTATGTATATATGTATGTATTTGCATTTAGGTGCCTAGAGTATCTCAGAATGTTAATGCAGTGGTCTTTGCAGTGTATCTGACAGCTCTGCTTGAGCCTTTCTGATTTCATCCCATTTGTACAAATGACACTATAGCACCCCTGTGATTTCTGCTATACAATTCTAGAGAAAATGTTTGTTCGTAGAAAATTGCCTATTAATGTCTTCCCTCTCATTTACCGTCACTTAACTGGTGTCTGTTGGAAAACTGTGAGGGGAGCTCACAGGGGACTGCACTTTACTGTCATATCCTCTCTTCTCTCTCTGTTTCCATCTCCTCCCGCTTTGTCTCCGTCTCTCCTCTCTGTTACTGACTCCCTGCTCTTAGCTACCACTGCCGCTGCCATTCAGATATGTGGAACTTGATACGTGTCATGACACAAAATACATTTTGTGTTTCAAAATAGGAATCAGCACATTTAGTGAGACAAAATGACTTGTCTTTTGGATGAACACTGAAATTAAAATCTAAATAGTAGATTCTGCAGACAACTTGTATTAAAATAGGCTTTACACATAGTTGTGCTTAAAGCTGAACTCAGCCTCTTACATTCCCTGTACAGCAGAGCTGGAGTGTGAGAGGAAGATGCAGTACAAGGAGCCAATCAAATCATGTGCTGAAAAGAAGCATACTGATAGAAAGAGAGAGTAGCTCATCGTTACTTCTTCTATCACTGTCCAGTGACAGGCCAGGAGCGGGTTCAGGATTACCTGGGCTCAGAAGAAATCAGTTGAATAATGCAAACAATCAAACTGAGGACATGTAATGGCAGGAAAGAGTTCTGTGAGGAAAATCTCTAGAGTGAAGGTGAATATTGCAGCAAAGAGTGGTTTTGTTATTTTGTCTTTGAATAGGGTTATTTATATTTACCTTGCTGTGCTTGGGTTATGCTGTAAAGTGACCATACAGTGGATATACAAAGTCTACACACCCCTCTTAAAATGTCAGGTTTCTGTGATGTAAAAAAATGATACAAAGATAAATGGTACAACTCAATTGAAAAAACAAACTGAAATCTTTTAGGGGGGAGAGTAAACATGAAAAACTAAAACAATGTGGTTGCATAAGTGTGCACATCCTCTTATAACTTGGGATGTAGCTGTGTTCAGAATTAAGTAATCACATTCAAAATCATGTTAAATAGGAGTCAGTACACACCTGCCATCATTTAAAGTGCCTTTGATTACCCCAAATAAAGTTCAGCTGTTCTAGTAGGTCTTTCGTGACATTTTTTCAGTCGCATCCTAGCAAAAGCCATGGTCAGCAGAGAACTTCTAAAGCATCAGAGGGATCTCGTTGTTAAAGGGTATCAGTCAAGAGAAGGGTATAAAAGAATTTCCAAGGCATTAGATATACCATTGAACACAGTGAAGACAGTCATCATCAAAGGGAGAAAATATGGTGTAACAATGACATTACAAAGAAATGGACATCCCTCCAAAATTGATGAAAAGACGAGAAGAAAACTGGTCTGGGAGTCTGCCAAGAGGCCTACAGCAACATTAAAGGAACTGCAGGAATATCTGGCAAGTACTGGCTGTGACAACAATCTCCCGTATTCTTCATATGTCTGGGCAATGGGGTAGAGTGGCAAGACGGAAGCCTTTTCTTACGAAGAAAAACATCCAAACCCGGCTAAATTTTGCAAAAATACATCTGAAGTCTCCCAAAAGCATGTGGGAAAATGTATTATGATCTTATGAAACCAAGTGTCAGGAATGGACTTGCCAGTAATGGTGGGACTCACCTGCCTTGTGGGCTGCAGTACCAGGGCTGGCCAGCGGGTGCTCTCAGCAATCAGAGACTCAACCCTGCAGCCAGCCAAACACCTGAAGCTGATTATGCAGGTGTATTTAAGGGATGGCCAGACCTGCAGTCTGTGCCTTGGTGTGTGTTTTTCCATGGGCCCCTGTATCTTGTAACCTGCGTTCCTGTTCCTGCTCCTGCTCCTGCCTCTGCCTGACTTGTTGCCGACCCGGTCTGATCCTGACCTCTGCTGACTTCTCCTGTTTGATCCCTGGCTTGTGACCCTGACCATTCTCTCCGCCTGCTCCTCCTGTACCTACCTGCCCGATAGTTATTGACCCGGCCTGCCCGATTACGTTGTGCTCTATATGTGTATGTACCTGTGTATCTGTATCAGTTTAGGTTTGTTTCACCTTGTTGTATGTATTTGTGTTAGCTTGGGGTTTGGTGCACTGCGTTTATGTTTGTATTGTTAGTCTTTAATAAATTGTCTTATTGTTTATAACATATCTGAAGCCTGCGTTTCCCTGCGTTAGTTCACATACCTCTGGTCCTACCCGGAGCCCTGACATCTCCTGTAGTATGTCCTCAGTCTCTGTTCATCTCCTGCACTGTCTGCAGTCTCTGGTCATCTCCTGTACTGTGTCCGCAGTCTCTGGTCATGTCCTGTACTATGTCCGCAGTCTCTGGTCATGTCCTGTACTGTGTCCCCAGTCTCTGGTCATCTCCTGTACTGTGTCCCCAGTCTCAGGTCATCTCCTGTACTGTGTCCGCAGTCTCTGGTCATCTCCTGTCCTGTGTCCGCAGTCTCTGGTCATCTCCTGTACCATGTCTGCAGTCTCTGGTCATTTCCTGTACTGTCTGCAGTCTCTGGTCATCTCCTGTACTATGTCTGCAGTCTCTGGTCATCTCCTGTAGTATGTCCCCAGTCTTTGGTCATCTCCTGTACTGTGTCCGCAGTCTGTGGTCATCTCCTGTCCTATGTCTGCAGTCTCTGGTCATCTCCTGTACTGTCTGCAGTCTCTGGCCATCCCTTAAATACACCTGCATAATCAGCTTCAGGTGTTTGGCTGGCTGCAGGGTTGAGTCTCTGATTGCTGAGAGCACCCGCTGGCCAGCCCTGGTACTGCAGCCCACAAGGCAGGTGAGTCCCACCATTACTGGCAAGTCCATTCCTGACACCAAGGTTGACCTTTTTGGCCATAATTCCAAAAGATATGTTTGGCACAAAAACAACACTGCACATCACCAAAAGAACACCATGCCCACAGTGAAGCATGGTGGTGGCAGCATCATGCTTTGGGGCTGTTTTGCTTCAGCTGGAACTGTGGCCTTAGTCAAGATAGAGGGAATTATGAACAGTTCCAAATACCAGTCAATATTGGCACTAAACCTTCAGGCTTCTGCTAGAAAACTGAACATGAAGAGGAACTTCATCTTTCAGCATGACAACGATCCAAAGCATACATCCAAATCAAAGGAATGGCTTCACCAGAAGAAGATTGAAGTTTTGGAATGGCCCAGCCAGAAACCATAGCTGAGTCCGATTAAAAATCTGTGGGGTGATCTGAAGAGGGCTGTGCACAGGAGATACCCTTGCAATCTGACAGATTTAGAGTGTTTTTGCAGGGAAGAGTGGGCAAATATTGCCAAGTCAAGATGTGCCTTGCTGATAGACTCATACCCAAAAAGACTGAGTGCTGTTATAAATCAAAAAGGTGCTTCAACAAAGTATTAGTTTAAGGGTGTGCATACTTATGCAACCATATTATTTTATGTTTACTTCCCTCCACCTAAAAGATTTCAGTTTGTTGTTCAACTGAATCGTACAGTTTATAGGTTACATTAAAGGTGGAAAAAGTTCTGAAATAATTTATCTTTGTCTCATTTTTTTACATCACAGAAACCTGACATTTTAACAGGGGTGTGTAGACTTTTTATATTCACTGTCTCAGGAACTGTATAAGCCTGTCGTAATACATTAATAACATGTCACAATATACAAAACAACAACATTTTTCAAAAAAATCTTGAGGTCCAGTTCAGTGAGTTTGCTTAGGCTAAGATTCAGTCTGCTGCAGGCAGGAGGAAGCATTACCTTAGTCTATTTCTCCCCCAGGGACCAGACTGCAACATTATAGTTTTGCAGCAACTCACAAGGTAAAAGGCTGCAGCAGGGACTGATCTGAGTTGGACATTTGAGAACACGGTAAAGAGTTGTACAGAAAGGGCCACCTATAACTTTGTAGTACCAGCCATTCTTTATGGGGCCTGGGCCCCATCAGTTTATTAAGGGCCCAGGCAGCTGACAAGCAGAGGGAAGGGGATTGTGCACAGGAGAGGGGATGGATCAGAATGGGCAGAGGGAAATCTCTGAAAGTGTTCCCTCTGTGGCTTGCTCTGCTGTACAGTCAGCTTCTCTGTCTCCCCACTGTTTTTACCATGTGTCTGATTGTTAATGAACAGGAATCCTCTGTACAGAGCACTTCATGTTCATTCATTCTCCAGTGCAGCTGAGACTGCAGATAAAAGGTTTCAGGAATCTGTATTTTCAATCACTTTCTGTGTCTCAAATGTAAGATATCAAAGGTCTGTCTAGACCAGGGGTCTGCAACCTTTAAGACATAAAGAGCCACTTGGACCCGTTTCCGAGAGGGAAAAAAAGACTGGGAGCCGCAAAACCATTGCAACATTTCAAACAAATCCGACACTGCATATATTGCAAAAAGCGCTCTGGTCATGAAGGGGGTTTAAGGGCCCAGTAAGCAAAGGGTTAATCAGGGCCACAGTGTATCGTCATAATCACAATCATAGCCTTAGGTCAGTGGTGGGCAACCTTTTTTTTCAACTGAGCCAAATCTCGCCAAAACCACGATTGAAATTTATTTTGAGAGCCACATTTTTAAAACTGAAAATACATCCCCCATATAGTAATTCATCCCCCATAGTAATTCATCCCCCATATAGTAATTCATCCCCCATAGTAATTCATCCCCCATATAGCAATTCATTCCCCATATAGTAACTCATCCCGCATAGTAATTCATCCCCCATATAGTAATTCATCCCCCATAGTAATTCATCCCCCATAGTAATTCATCCCCCATAGTAATTCATCCCCCATAGTAATTAATCCCCCATATAGTAATTAATCCCCCATAGTAATTCATCCCCCATATAGTAATTCATCCCCCATAGTAATTCATCCCCCATATAGTAATTCATCCCCCATAGTAATTCATCCCCCATATAGTAATTCATCCCCCATATAGTAATTAATCCCCCATATAGTAATTAATCCCCCATATAGTAATTCATCCCCCATAGTAATTAATCCCCCATATAGTAATTCATCCCCCATAGTAATTCTTTCCCCATAGTAATTCATCCCCCATATAGTAATTCATCCCCCATAGTAATTCATCCCCCGTATAGTAATTAATTCCCCATATTAATTCATCCCCCATATTAAGTCCCCAAGTCCCCCCTGTGTCAATTCACTTACCTTTGCTCCGCGCGTTCCTCTCGCCGTGTTCCCGCGCCGTTCCGGTGTAGCATGAAAATCTGTCTCCTATGAGGATCTGTCCCCCTCGACGTATCTGCGCATGTGCCAGTTTCAGGCATTAGCAGCCGATCGGCGATCTCCGGCACATGCGCAGATACGTCGAGGGGGACAGATGCTCATAGGAGACAGATTTTCATGCTACACCGGTCTTCAGGGCGGACTGTGAGAGGAGCCTAGCGGGAGCCTAGCTCCGCGGGCCGGATTAAAAGGTCCGTAGTTTGCCCATTGCTGCCCTATTGCCTGTCACCTGGTGGGCAGTGTGCTACGGGGCCGCAGCCAAGGTGAAAAAGAGCCGCATGCGGCTCTGGAGCCGCGGGTTGCCGACACCCGGTCTAGACCCATGGTATTTCACCAAAGCCTCCCCCACCACCCAGGGCTTAAAAAATAATAATTATATATTTATATATATATATATATATATACACACACACACTAATTAAGGGCTCTGTGTTGCAGCATTGTTCACTGCCACACTGGTAGTTCACTGGTAAGTTAATGCTTGTAAATTGGCACAGGAGTATTTATTAAGAAAAAAATATTGCATAGTGTTTTGTCCAGCTGGTACATACGTTCTGTGTGAATGGGGTGAAGTCAAATGTTCTCGGGCTATTTCCTCTACAGGTCAAATGTTATTCTTTCATAAAATAACTGAATGGTTAAGGAAAAGACTGCATTATGGCCACTAGACTGAGTATAAAAAATAAATATTTATTGCCTATGTTACGCAGCCCCATAAAGTGCCCATTTTTGCAGTTTTTAATTCTTTTTTTTATAAACACCATAATTTGGAAAAGGTTGCTGACTCCTGGTGAAGGTAAAAATCACAGTCCTAATGTCATTGTTAGTGTCAATGTTCTTAAGCATATTGGTAACTTTTTCATTTGGGTCTTTTCTTGATCCTAGGGGAGAATTTTGTCTAAGGTCATTCAACTTAGGTGCAGCAGCAAGAGATACGATTCATAACCTTCCTTATGGATTCCAGGTGCTCCAGGCACAATGGACACAGCACGATATGCAATTTCTTTAGTGTGCATGTTAATAAAGTAACCATAATTTGGAGTGCATTGGTCCAACTATGGTGAATTGGAGTGCTTTGCTCCTACCATAGAGGGTTGGAATGCGTTGGTTCTACGATAGTGAATTGGAGTGTGTTAGGCCTACAATGATGAATTGGAGTGCTTTGGTCCTACCACAGCATTTTATCAGGAAACGGTGGGGCTACAATTTTTGAATCATGTACTACTATTCACAGGAACATTCCTGCTTTCCAAAAAAAATGTTTAAAGGCAGTTCTTAGTCCACCAAGCCACTCCGACCCTGAGAAATTTTACCGTCTGTTCATGCATTAGTCATGCCAAACCTCAATTCTGATTTGTATCATCCTGGAAAGATGAGAGACAAACTGCCCATTTTAATTTTTCCTTGTGATGTTACTTTCAGCCCCAGCTGTCACAAAAAAGACTACAGATGGATCTGACTTTTGTAGACAGAAAAAAAAAAATCACCGTCCTCCTTTGCCTGCAGGTTAAATCTTATTTATTTATTTTTACTGCACTTGTCTTGTCTATCCTCCATTTGGAATATATTGAAACAAGCGTGCAGTTCGTGAACTGATATATTAGCAGACTTGTAAGGCTGCCAGTACACACAGACAGGTATTATGTCTAATATTTGAATTCAGCTGTGTGTTTGATGCAGCGCACGCTTCATTGATAACCATTTTACCTGCTTTACAAGTAAACTCTCTGAAAGCTCCAGGGATTTTGGTGCCTAAAAAAATCCTGCAAAATAGCCATTATTTTTCTGTGCTCACATCTGTTCTTTTTTTCCCAAGCTGCCTGCTAGAGCAGAATAAAGCAAATTCACCTCTTTATTCCATACCATTATAGTACGATGGGGAAGATCACACTGCATACAAGGTCACAGTGGGGTCTACCAATATTCAATACCACAGCTTTATATCTGCCTCTAACAGTTACTGTCAGGAGGTCATAATTATAGTAAGTAGGATTAACCATCACATTCCCAGCTCCTTAGCACATTATCCTTACAGCTATTTGCACCAGCCCCCCCATATTCTTGCGCTTCAGCTTTGCATTAACATTCAGAGTCATGAAACAGGAATGGCCTCTATTTGTGCTGCTTTCAGCATTAGATTATAGCCTGTAATCACCCAGTAACCTTCACTGTGTGGAATAACCTTGAGAACAAGTTAAAATGGCTGCATAAAAGCTATTCATGGCAAGCATTGCTTTACAAGACACGATTTTCACATTAATGTACGCTGTTCTGCTGTAGTGGGCTATGCCGCAAATCAGCCAGTCATTTTATTGCCATAT